TCCTGAAACCAGGAAGTAAGCCGCTGGTTCCCTCCACAAAAAGCAAATGCATGTTTGTTCAGCCGGTATATTCTCCACATGTCTACCCTACTTTTATAATGTTCTAATCATAAATCTAATGATGGATTATAAAGGGTTTTAGGACGCGTCACTGCACCACTAGAAGCCAACTCCATCGATCAAGCTGAAACGTTCTCTCCCTCTTCTTCTCATGCTCCCTGTCACTCTCCTTTAACTCCTCCGGTGACTTTCTTTTATTTGAAGATAGTTTTTTGCCCTGCGCTTGGCCGGTTACCGCTGGTATTAAAAACATTTTGGCGAATGGTTAGGTGGCGCGATAGTCTGTAGTGAAGGTTTTATTTCACGGGAGCCTGCTCGCGCTGCAATCCGCAGCAAACAGCTGTTTGCTTTTCACCCAACAACGACAAGCGACTCACGAAACGCTATGTTGTAGCGTTAATAAACGAAACAATTTAAAAAAATTGCTAGTCAAAATACCAATAACACAGGACCATTTTTTTTTTTAAAGCAATATTTTTAGTGGCCCGAGTGGGCAAGTGGAAAGTACGTTATGCTGGCCCGGGGTGTCTAAATAGTGCTTCCGGGCCAGCGGGCCATTTATAATGTCGAGCCCTGCACCGTGTATAAAACACTGACCTTCTTTCCTGTGGGCACGCTCCCGGTGAAGGACACCTTAGCTACATCAGGGTGGTGGCAGAGCAGGCTGCCGGTCTCCTGGCCGCCCTGCACCACGTTGTACAGCCCCTCTGGAGCTCCGGCCATGGCGTAGATCTCTGCCAGCAGGACCGCCGTCACAGGGGTCACCGGGGAGGGCTTGAACACCATGGAGTTGCCTGTTTTAGATGACAGACACAAGATTTGAACAGTGAGAAAAGGCAGCGACTGTGATATTGAGAACAAATCCAATCAAACATACTTCTTCACATATGCATGCGCATATGTTTTATATAAAGTTATATCAATTTAGACATGTTAAAAATAAACATTTGTCAAGGCCATTGGTGGCGCTGTGTCCTGTGCAGCTTTGCTTCCTGAAATGTCTGCTGACAAAAGGTTACGCCCACTTCTTTAACACAGCCATGGCTGGTGATATGTTTTGATTTATAAAACAAAATGAGAGGGGTGGTGTAAGGTCCAAAAGGGTTGTTTGTTTGTTTGCAGCATGCCATAGAAGTTTGAGATGCTTTATAAATAAGACTTATCTTTACCAGGATGTAGTCTTCACTGTAAGGGGACATTTCGTAGAGCCTCGTCAGTGAGAACAACTCTTTGTACACCGAAGCTCTATGAAAAATAACCAGGATTCTTGACATTCATGAGAAATGCTGCGATACTACACAACTACCCACTGTTGTTTTTCAAATGCAGTCTCGTCTTGTAGAATAAAATAACAAGAACGTGATTTAAATATTATAGCAGATCAAATGTCATTTAACAATTCAGCTCAGGTCTAATGTTAAACAACCGAGTGTGGTAGTGAAAGGGAATTTATGTGTTTTCTCACAGTTTTCCAACTATGTAGACACATTATACATAGCCCTAACAACAACAAAATAAGACTTGTTATATATCAATCTAAACCATTCTGAAAATCTATAACTCAACAAGGAAAAACTCACTGAAAACTGTCCAAAACTTAAACAAAATGGCAAATTCCAAAATGTAATCCAACAAAAATGTCTAAAATGTGACCCTGCTGTAGTGCCATCCATAGGTGAAGTGCCAGAACCTTTTTCAGGATTGCTCCGTGCAACTAGCATACCTAACCTGACATGTAACTGTGGCTTAAATAGCAGAGTATGTTTGAATGAGTGAGTTATAGCAGTGTTTGTCCAATAAGCCACATCTAAAAAAAAAACACTACCAATTACAGAAAAACGTTTCCAATATTTATCCAATAGCACAGAATTCAAGAAGGATTGTATGCAATGTGTAGAAGATGTTTGGTCCAATGTATAAAGTACTTTATAATGTTTTAACTTGTAGGTTTATCCAAACACAAAAAGGCTTTTGGATCTTCTTCACATACTAACACCACGTTTATGATTTTTGTAGCGTAAATGCAACTGGCAGAAATAAAAAGCTAACGTAAGGCTGAATAACAAACAGACATAGTTGACCTTACAGAAGGCAATATGTTGTGCTAAAGCTAATTGTTATGGCTAAGAGCTTTAATAGTCTCCGTTACCACAGGCCAGGGCTGGAGCAGATTTCCAGGCAGCGATCTGGAAAGGAAAGTTCCAGGCCCCGATGCCGACGCAGACGCCCAGAGGTTCCCTGCGGGTGTAGGCGAACGATCCCCCAGGCAACTGCACATGCTGGCCTTGAGACACGGAATATAGGTGACATTTTTAGGATTCACATTTCAAAGGTGCAGCGTACATTGGAATGTGTTGCCTAAGCATTTTCTCTTACCAACACATACAATATGACAGCTGTACTTCTCAGGGTTCAGGTTGAGGGATGTTAAATAGATCTGACAACCAAGTCATATCACAGTAACGGTGTTAGTAGTTTTATATTTAGATTTGTATTGTTGTGCTAACATTTTGATTATGTTTCAGTTGAATTCCAGTTTTGATTGACTATTTTTGTTGGGGTCAGATATTATGTTTCAGAAGTACGTAGATACAAAAACATACAGAATAAATGTTTAGAGAACTTTGTAGGAATGACCATAACTTTAAAATCTTTAGATGTGGGAATAACCTCAAGTTCTCTTACTTCACAGAAACTAAATTGAGGTGATTAACAATAGACCTGCGAGGAAGAGCTTGGTTGAATGTGATTTGATTGAGTACAATATATAATTTTCTTGTTATTAAAGTGTAATAGACAATAACAACAGGGAGTATATTGTGAAGTATTAACGGTGTCATGCCATCTCCTACAATATCATGTCTGTTCGAACTCTGTGGAAAAATAGTTTACAAATATTTATGATCTCTCCTTTTTTTAGGGAGTGATATATTACATCAATAAACCTCAAATATTTTTGATTTATTTCATTTTCAGTTTAATCACAATATTTCTCACTACATTTTTAAGTTAAATGGCTAAAAACCCTGGTAAAGCAACATCTTATTGGTGGCTTTCCACTAAGTGATTATATAGTTAGATATTGAGTAAAATGTCTTTCTGTTTATTAGCTACTATATTGGTCTCGAGACCCTCCACTTTGTAAATTGATACGGCACATATTTTGATTCTAAGAGTAAATGTTCCTATTCTTATTGTCCTTTCATTTTTGTATATTTATATTTATTGTAAACATTTATTTTTTATAATCATTTTTTACCTTAATTCCTCCTATTAGTCTAGCTGCCAGCTCACAGAGTCCTGTTGTGAACCCGGAAATGTTGAGAACCCAATTGTTTTATGAGAGAAGTATATAGTACGGGTCCCCAGAACATAGAAACTGCCGGATGCTAACTTGCATATGTTGGGCAATTTAAACAATAGGCATAAGTTGAATTTATAAGCAGGAATTACGATTATAGCCTTTTTGGGTCGGATTTAAAGATTTAGAGGACTCTGCATCATTTGTATTGGAAAGATTGCCTATTGATTCGATGAAAAGTTGTCCACAGTAGAGATAATAATTTGTATCTTGTGCTCTCTATATCCAATGCTCGCAACACTACTCATGGTAGTCAAAATCAGCCCACCGAGAGTACTAATATGGCCACTTTATGGTGAACACTGTAATGTTTTATCCTGAAAATGTCAGACATGGATTCGGCATTCTCAATAACACCCAAAACCAATCCAAAATTGTCCAAATCCGCCAAGTCATTTTTTAAACTATTGTTTACATAGGCTATACTAACTGTGCAAATTGCCCAACATATGCAGGTTAACATCCAGCAGTTTCTATGTGCTGGGGAACGGTAATATACATTTCTATCATAAAACGTTGGTGTACTCAACATTCCCTTGTTCACTAAGCTGGCAACTGGACTATATTGTGTTAACACCAATGTAAATGACTTACATGAGTAAACCTACTGGGCAAAAAAACCTGATTCTGATCGAAAGTGGGAAAACACGTAAGTAATGAGCGAGTTGTATTGTACCAACCTGCCAGAGTGGTGGCCAGCGCTGCATAGTACTCTATACACAGTCTGGCCGAATCCACATCCAGACGAGCCTCTGTGATGGACTTTCCGTTGTTGACTACTTCAATTTCAGCTATCTCCTCTCTCCTGCGCTGTGCATGAAATCCAGGGTAAGTTTTACACATCGTGTTTGTGTAATCACAACAGCTCAGATCCATAACTGGAGTTACAAAACAGGCCGCTCTTTCTTCATCAAGTACAGGCCCTCTCTGACCTTTTAGGGAACCAAATTTGACCTGCAGTCAAAATACCCTCTGTTAGGACTGCATGATTTAAAGAAATAACTAATTGCAGGTATGGGAGGGACTACATTTTGCAGTCTTTTCATTTAAAAAAATTAGAGGCTCTGTAGCAAATAAATGTTTTATTAAGTTTGAAAGAATACTATTCATAGGCCGGGATATCTCTGCAATAAAAAAATACTGCATTAAATAAATAATATTTTAACAGATATTCTCCTTCCTGCTACTTGAATATTGCACTAGTCCATATGGCGATGATGATAACATGTTAATTAATTATGCAGCCCTTCTCTCTGCAACACTTCTTATGTCATCTGGGCAAATGTACATATTCTAGTAGCAGAGACTGAAGGATAGTAATTTGGAGAAAATAAATTAAGAAAAACACCTCAATGATGTGAGCAGCTTCTATCATGATCTTCGCCCTCTCCATCCCAGACATTTTGCTCCAATGACCAAAGGCAGACTTGGCAGCCTCCACAGCCTGATTGACCTCCGCCGCACCACACGGCTCTAAAGGGCACAGGACTCGCCCTGCAAAGTGAGACACGTGATGGTAATAACAGTTAAGTACACAGGTTGTAAATAAAATAGCATTTTTTACTTTGTTAGGCCATGACTTGTTCACATAGTATGCACTGGCTAGGCCTGGACACCACAGGATGTAACGCACTGAGAATACAGCTTAGTTTTTACACTGTCTTTTCCAATGTCTTTTCCAATGAGAGGCAAAATAAGGAGTACCATTCCGCCTGATGAGTGGGCTGCACACAAGCTGTGCTCAAATGGAGTCGCGAAATCTGAATTAAAACAAGGAACCCAGCCAGACAGAGCATTATAGCACAGCACTTTTTACAGTGAATTCTAACTTATTCAGTTGGTTTTAAATTGGGTTTTATACAGATACTCTATAGATATTTATATTTCTACTGTTGATATGTATATAGTAACTGATTATTTTTATTTTGGATCTTAATGTTGTCCTTTTTGCTTATTTCTTAAACGTATTTGCAATGCATTGTAAACATGCTGCTGCAACAAAACAAGTTCCAATTTAGGATCAATAAAGTATATCTAATCCAAACTAATCTATAACTAGGTTTTTAAAAACAAAGACATGAAGTTAGTGCAATAAAAGGCTGGCAATCAATCAGTACCTTTCCTTATTTTGAGGTTTGTTGTCCTAAACAAGCTAAGAAGGAAATGATCCAGCTGAATGTGGCTGACAGGTTGACAGAGAAACCCATTTTGAGTAGCATCTCTGCTGTGTAATAACGAAGTTATGTTTAATAGCCAGCCAGGAAGTGGGAACTTTATCTGCTCCACTGACACTGCTCAGGGTCAGGGACCATTCAACTGGTTGCACAACAAAGGTGCCATGTGTGGCTTTTTAAGAATAGGCATGTTAATAATCACACTAAGTACTTTTGATCTGAATATCAAATAATTGTGTGTCTCACCTGTTGCAGGTTCGTAAACATTTTCCTTGTTGCATTTCTCTTGGCTCGTCCGTCGTTTCCCTGCCCAGAAGTTTAGCGGGACCTTGATGTCCACTGATCCCGAAGAAAGGCACCGTACAGCGGCCGCGAAGGGAGGGACAGCCGGCCGCCGCAGAGAAGTAGCGAGCCTATGAAGCATGCTCAAAAATGGCTCTGTTGCTCCAAGTTTAGCCGATAACTGAAACATATACATTCTATGTGTAAATGCTATGCAGACATTTCCCGTATCTAAAGCAAACCCGACTACATTGGGAAACGTCAAAAGCTGTTTTACTTCAGTAGTTAAACATTAGCTTCAGCAAGTGATTATGTAACAAGCAAGCTACTTTTTTCTCGTTTTGTATTGTTTTTCATTCACAACGTTTCACGAATATATGTAAGGTTTGTCAAACTTACCTACAGGCTTCTTCCCACGCGTACTTTAAGTTGATGTATCTAAATAACGGTTTATGTAAAGTTAGGTTAGTTATTTATCTGATTAGCTACAAGGGGGAGGAGCAACTAATACGACCGTTGCTGGGAGTGCCATTGGTTGATGGGGGCTGGCGGACGTCAAAGCGTAAGAGACGATTGGTTATTTTCACTGCAAATCACAAAAAAGAAAGATGCAGATAATGTCTATATATGTATATTTTAAGTCGAATGAAAACAACGTAGATCACAGTTGACCCTTTAAATAAAAAAAACACATGTAAATAAATTAACGTAGAAACGAAAAAGCGGATAAATAAAGTGAATGTTGATGCTGTGGGAGGAGCTCTACTTCAATGATATTCCAGCACAGCAGCTCTGACTGTACACTGCAAGCATGGCCGGGGACAGTGAAACACATCTTAGGGACCGTGGCGAGAAAACCGACGTTATCCGACAACCTTTTCTCATCGGTGTATCTGGAGGCACCGCCAGTGGCAAGGTTGGCATCCTAGCTAGCTAAATTGACGGTTTTTGAGAATTGTCAGGGTTCAGTTTTGAGCTAAATCACAGCCAGAGGTTAGCCTGCAGCCGGTGGCTAGTTGGCCGCGTGGCCAAAGCAACGCGACGTTGAGATTTGATTGACATGTCTCTCCTCTATTTAGCCATCGTGTGCTTGTACCTCTTGCACTCATGGCTGTAAACTGGCTGCTTTAATTGATTTCGTGTTTGTTCATTTTCCTTTTTGTACTGGGTGGGCGGTCAATTTAAACTACGTAGAAACACTGTTAGCCCACGTAGCTGTCTAACATTAGCGGAATTCCATCACATTCTAGCATTACTGATTGTGCTAACGTGAAACAATAGCTACTGCTAGCCCTATTCTCCAAGCTGTGGGAACTGTTTGCACACATTTTGAACCACACGAATGAATGTCGAGGACATCTTTATGATAACACTGTGTACCATTGATCAGACACATGTACAGCTTGTAGCGTTAATTGTGTTTTTAAGTTCGAGTGACCTGGAATAACCGCTTACGTGTAACACCGTTATAGATGTTTGTGTAATGAATCATAACGCAGGCGCTAGCGGGAAATGCCATCTCTAAACATTTCCCTCAATGCGCCCACGTCCTTTGTCTTGTATACTCTAACCGTATACAGAAAATCTGACTTTGAACCGTCGATTTGAGTTCTGTAAAATGTAATTATTCAAGATCAACTTCTTCATAAATTCACCGTTATTTTAAAGAGCAAGTTCATTTTATTTTGATTTGCACAGTAGTGCTGAACTTACGGTAGCACTGACGTCCTTCTTGTTCCAGTGAGAACTAGTGATGTGTCGGTCGCGAACGAGCCGATTCTTTTGAACGGCTCTTTGATATGAACGAGGGGAACCGAGTCGTACTTGGTGAGAGCCGTTCTTGTTATCGTTCAATCGTTTGTCCGCACTCACTGCCTGCCAAAATCCACTAGCCTTTTAAAAAGCTTGATTTTGTTCCCCAAAACGTATTCTGTGAAGACCCACCCCTACTCTGACTGTATCTATCTTCGACACGGAAACCCTGTCTGCTCCTCACAGCAGCTCCTCGCGAGCAGTTGCACGTCGCTTGACCAATCAGAGCACACTGGGCTCACAGGGGGGGGGCGAGCTCCAACAATCCGTTTAGGACAGAGAGTGAACACCAGGTTTCAGCACGAGGAGTGAGATGGGGTGGGTCTTAACGGAATACACGAGAGAGAGAAGTCATAACAAGTGGTACAGGACAGGTAGACAACGTGTTTTTCGGATGGAAAATGAGCCAAACGCGAAAACGCAGTTGGATGCTGGAGGCTACATTCAAAATACATTCACTGACATGAATATGGCGCCACCTTTTGTCATGTTTACAATGCAGATTATTGACATTAGGTCTGGCAATACAGTCAATCATTATCCTGGTGATTATTTCGCAGATAAACCTAGTAACCCCGCCCCCTTTAAAAAAACGGCTCTTTTGAACGATTCTTTTGAACGGCTCTTTGATATGAACGAGGGGAACCGAGTCGTACTTGGTGAGAGCCGTTCTTGTTATCGTTCAATCGTTTGTCCGCACTCACTGCCTGCCAAAATCCACTAGCCTTTTAAAAAGCTTGATTTTGTTCCCCAAAACGTATTCTGTGAAGACCCACCCCTACTCTGACTGTATCTATCTTCGACACGGAAACCCTGTCTGCTCCTCACAGCAGCTCCTCGCGAGCAGTTGCACGTCGCTTGACCAATCAGAGCACACTGGGCTGGGGGGGGGGGCGAGCTCCAACAATCCGTTTAGGACAGAGAGTGAACACCAGGTTTCAGCACGAGGAGTGAGATGGGGTGGGTCTTAACGGAATACACGAGAGAGAGAAGTCATAACAAGTGGTACAGGACAGGTAGACAACGTGTTTTTCGGATGGAAAATGAGCCAAACGCGAAAATGCAGTTGGATGCTGGAGGCTACATTCAAAATACATTCACTGACATGAATATGGCGCCACCTTTTGTCATGTTTACAATGCAGATTATTGACATTAGGTCTGGCAATACAGTCAATCATTATCCTGGTGATTATTTCGCAGATAAACCTAGTAACCCCGCCCCCTTTAAAAAAACGGCTCTTTTGAACGACTCTTTTGAACGGCTCTTTGAAAGGAACGGAGCCATAAGATCCGGCTCCCTTCAAAGAGCCATAAATCCCATCACTAGTGAGAACACAGACGTGGATGTTATCGAATACGTCATTGTTTTCCTTTGTTATGAACCGGGTGGAGTATTTCTGGCCTGACAGCGGTGAAAAAGGGACCTCGTGTTATCAAAGGACACCAGTTGAATTGATAAGCTTGACACAACCAAACCACAACAGAAACTAAAGTGTCTTATCCCGACTGTTAGTGACTGTAACGGGTCACTATGAGAGATCTAGTTAGCCTACAATACAGAAGAGGGGCCATAGCCCTCCCAACTTTGTCCCAGATACCAGCACGCTGGCAGCGGGCCTGTGTTGTGCTTCCCATAGACTGTGTGTATATATATATATATACTTCCTGATAGCCCCACACAAGGGGCTGGAGGAAGGAGTGACTGTAGTGATATGACGCCAGACAGGACCAGCCTTACTTGGTAAGGTGACTGCTCATTGATTGGACGATGCCAGCTTGTGCTTCCTGGTCTGTAAGCAGACTCCAGCACAGTATGCATGGAAAGAGAGGAGGGCAGATTCAGCACTTTCATCCGCCCTCTAACTGATGCTTAGTTATCACAGAAAAGCTTTTATTTGTTTTCCATCGGTACTGAATATTTTAATTTTCCTTTAAAAAAAGTGCCATGTAAAATAAATGACCAGCTATAAAGTGACTTTGCTAAAATGAAAGCAATTATTTGATGTTTATGACATCTTCTTAATTACAGTTATGGCCTTAGTGGTGCAGGAATGAGTCCCAGAACATGGAAATAAGTAAGCCTTTTCTACATTAGCGATAGCTAACAAGTGGCTAAATGAGACCTTTAAACACCAAGCTGAACAAGAGTCCGCCTTTAGCTTAGGAGTGGTGACATGAAGTCATGCAACCGTGATGCAGGGCCTAAAAAAAGTAGTTTATATGTGGATATAATCCAGATAAACGAACGTCTGAGGTATTGTATGAAGTCTAAGTATCATGGAGTGTTTGCAACCGATTTTCTGCAATATTCTGAAATCCAATGGAAAATCCCATTACTTTTTGTCGAGGTAGCCCTAGCAATGCTAACTTTTTGAGTCGCCCTACTAAAATACGCCATCACTGCACCACTCTATTGGATCAAGATTAAATATGGACTAGGGCTGCACGATATTGAAAAAAACTGACATCGCAATTTTTTCCCCCCCCCTGCGGCATATATTCCTTTTTTTTTAACTATATTTAACCGGATGAAGGTATTGTCTCCACAGATTCTTTAAGTATAGTATCTAAGCGATCCGATCTCGCGACGGGAAGCAAACACAGACATCACAATTTCACCCATCATCAATAAAAAATTCAAAATCAAGGGGATGTTGTTGCATTTTAGACTTCTTATCAACCTGGTAAAAAGGTTACCTTAACGAGGACCTTAATAGGGAAATATGACGCCGTTGTTTGATCGAATTGGGTCAAGGGTAAGTTAATGGACCCCCCTTTGGGAATTAATACAAAATTAGTACCGGGTGCCAAAACCTCACCCTTATGGAGGGTGTGATTGAATCCCCAAAGGGAGTAAACTTTTAATTGAGCAATCACTGGAATGAAGTGTAGTGTTATTCTTTCCATAGGCATTAAATGTTCGTAACAGGAGAAACTTCCAAGATTTCCAGGCAACCAAAAAATAAAGATTATTGTTTAAGTCTTTTGTAGTCTAGGGTTTTCAATAATTAGGTTACTTATAAGGTCTTTGTATGATACCGATACTGTAGAGGTCATTATCTTAGTATTGATAGGCCTTTCCTCTAACCTGCTCAATATGGTAGACTTGTTCTCTTGGACGGGGAAAGTTGTTTTCACCCCAATAATGGTTATAAATTCTTTACTTTATCGATAAAATTCTTTTCACGTTTTTTGATTTGCTGACCAAACCTGAATCCTAAAAATGTAGTGCTAGGTTATCCGGTTATAATTTTTAATATTCTACTTACACCCTGGCACAACGTTAATGTGGAGCACCGGATTGGGCTCGGAAGGTACACTTTTTTGGAAACCGTGTCCCCAAGTTTCGTTCGGAGTAAGCCTTTAGGGGGGAGTCAGACTACGGATTTGATTCGTCCTAGAGCAAAAGAAACCGAACAATGAAAGGGGGTGCCTTGTTTGGGGGTACTCCCACCCCCCACCATCTAGGAAAGAGTAGAGAAGATTTGAAAAAAACGCGGCTCTTCCACCTTTTAAATGTATTGGGGGTAATTAGGATGAAGGTTTTTTTTTTGTAGATATAAATTGAAACAGACGGTACATTCTTTGTGTCAAGAATTTCTAAACCCTTCTCACCTTATTCTCGTGTTTAAATTTTCTACCTAATCGTCAAGTTTCTGATGTTGACGGGGGAGGACCTTTTACCCTCAGGTCCACGTATGGACGGAATTATATTTTAGGCGATAATTAACGTAAACCTTACGACTGACGACGCTATCACTGTTCGCCTGTTGTAGCTTGCGTTGAATATCATAACTTATTTTTTCTTTCGCGTCGTACTAAATTTACAGTGGGAGCGCTATACTTGAGATACAAGAAAAGTTGGCCCGAGATGCATTATCGAATCCGTGGTAGTTCTCAGCAGTCACGCCATATGAAAGATAGACGATGTTGTTACTACCGACAAATAGTGTTTTCGTGTCCCCGTGATGTCCTTCACATCTAATCTCGGTCTCTTTTCAGGGAGTTTCACAGTTATGGATCCTGTGGGATGAGGCTTATAGGCACTTAGATGCCTATGTGTTTATAAAGGGTCTTACATGAATGATTAATCTATCCGTTATGACGTTTGACTTCACTATTCCCTCGTTTTACTGTATTCTAAACTTACGCGCCTACCAAGGCTCACCTATCCACTATATGAGATCTTTTCACGTAATGATACGAAGTTGGTATAGGTCTATCGCAATCCACTGTAAATGAAAACCCACTACTCAAGCTTCAGACGTCGACTCGGGAAGTCACGGTTAAAACTCTCGGCAACGACGGACCTCTCGCAGTCCTTGGAAACATCTTCGACAGACAACACCACTGTGGACCGAGGGGCGCCACGGAGAAGTCACTACGGCTCTCGATGGGTAAAAGGTCACCCAAACCCAATTCTTTTCTCTGGTTTGTTGGCTCTATGTTCATGGAAAAGAACCAGAAGCCCGGTCGGCGAGGTGCTACCGTCTAATAGAGTGGTATTGACTGGGTGTTACCCAACCGGCGCGCGCTGTTTGGGCGCGATAATGTCTATTTATTCCCGGACGTCGTGCAAGGTAACAAACACGTTGGCGCCGATTCTGCTCTGTGTGATGTTATCCCTGGACGTCATGTACGTTATGAACTAGTTGGTTGGCGTTAGGTATAGAAACTGACCCGTCTACGTTGACGCGCAGCGCCGGAATCTGACCGAACTCTCGCGCAGGGGTCAATGTTGATGTGTTACTATAGCAATGGCCCTGCATGACGTCTGTGACCTCTAACGAAGCGTGTATATCGCGCGCAAAACAAAATAAAAGACGGTAAAAGTGTCTCGGTGGCGGGGCGATTCGTATGTCTTCTGCGCCAAGTTAAGAAGCCCTGTACTCTAATTGAGTCACCGGGGGTGTGAAGTGGGCGCGGCGCCGCGCGCGACTTGGCTTAGATGTGTGTTTGTCTTGTGTTGTCGCCCCACATTATTTCAGTCAATTTTCAGGAGGTTTTCACGCGAGCTTGATTTTGGCGACCGCTGTGTTAGCTTTAGCTCTGTTTCCAACTTTCATATATAACTGGTAGGTTCCTCCCTTCTTTGCCTAAATTCTCCCTCCCATGAAAAACTTACCACGATCACTCGATACGCACACCTATATTATTTAGAGTTTTAAGTTGGTCTAACCTAGGGGAAAGACGACAAACTTCTTTAAATTATTTTGTCTGTTTACCGCTTTCACTTCTGTGTGATAGCGCTCGCGTCGTCCTTTAATTTGGCAAAATATGTTATTTGTTTCTGATCCGGTTATATACATATAATGGGGCAATCGCTAAAACGGCTACGACAGGATAACACCCGTAAGTGTTTCATAAGGCATTTATTAGATTGGTGCTCTTTACCTTTCTCCTTCGTGACTAGACACGAGCTCTTCGGTTTGGAACACCTGTTTTATTGGGTTGACTTTGGCGTTCCTAGTTACCCTGATTAACGAAAAAAATTTTTTCGCGAACTGGTGGTCTTCGCGTACAAATAAAATACCCCTCTAGTCAGAAATTTTGCCGCGATGGTTCCTGTCTTTTGTAAAGGCTAGGATTAGAAGTTCGCTTGTTACTCACGCGCTGTACGTTTCGTGAGTGCTGTAAAGTTGTAAAATAACGAAATTATCGGATGATGACTTTACATAAGTTATCATATTTGTTTGCAATAGAACAGTGCACTGATAAGTAAAGACACTCCTTCTAACAGTTACAAAGCTTCTAAGAGTTCGGCATACCATGCAACTGCTTGAGTTACGACTCCAGTTTCTGCAACAAGGAAACTCGCTTATATTATTATGTTACTTTTTTTGTGCCGATCTCTCTTTAAGCAACTACAGGGTATCTTATCATATATACATATTTTTTTGTGAAGGATTTATACACCGAAATACTCTTTACAGTTACAGCAGATCTTAAGTTATGGAGGTCTTTCGGGCGCGGGGGGACGCTGGGGGATATAACTCTGATACGACGTTGAGAAGAAGAAAGACATTTTAGCTCGTGTTTTCAATCGACGATTACCATCGGTGCGTCTCATAGTACGTCGAAGGCGAAAACCGATGCGCAGTGAAGAGTAGGAATAAACGAAGTAGACAAACACCACCACTCTTGAAACGGGACGAGTGTCGTTTGTTGGTTCAGTGTAGTAAGACTAGTCTAGTGTCGTCCGGGCGGGCGAATCAACGCTGGGTAGTTTTGTGCGACCGATTGGTAATGTCGATGAAGAGAGGCTAAAATGTATTTTTGCCTTATACCTAAATTTCTTTTTTACAATAATGTGTCTGTGTAATGTTGATACCTAGGTTGGCTAAGTGGCGGAAAAAAAGAGCAACAATTACCGGTACTTCGTGCATAAACTAGTCTACTTGTCGATGGCACTCTTGCTAGAGGCATTTTCGGAGACCATNGCTAAACAGTTCAACGTCTCCGTCTCCATATTTCTTTCCTGAGGAAGCTGCCATCCTTAACCAGTGTGCCTTGCTCGTGATTTACCAGTATTTGTGCTGGCAGCACAAATACTGGTAAATCACGAGCAAGGCACACTGGTTAAGGATGGCAGCTTCCTCAGGAAAGAAATATGGAGACGGAGACGTTGAACTGTTTAGCCCGCCTTGGGCATGGTTTATTTTCCTATGCACTGCACTCGGACATGCTGTGGAGTGAATCGTGGTCACCTCTGAGAGGGAGTTGGTTGACAGCTAAAAAAAACTATAATATCAACGACACGTAATAGCGGTTCCGTGCCAGCTGATTTGCACCAAAGTACTAATTTCCTTATTTGTTTCCTTGCGTATCTGTCTCTCTCTCCACAACTCTCACATGAAATGTGTTCTTCTGATGTGGCATGTCTTATCAGTCCTTTATCAGTCTGTAATGCGTGTTTCCAGTCGCAAAAACCTTTGACAGTAAAAGCCGCATCAGATGAAGACGTATTTACTTTAAACTGTCTACAGNCAATCCATATTCATGAAGGGGGGATCTAACTATACAGAGAATATGGTTTTTTGAACCACGATGTAAACATGTTTAATTCTGCTCTAAAGTTGGGCATTTTAACATTGGGGTCTATGGAAATTGTTCCCTTCTGCAGACTGCTCCTACTGGCCACTAGATGAACTGCAGTTTGAGGCACTTCCGCATTGGCGTCCCGGCTCTTCCCCAGAGTTTGCCGCTTGTTCTGACACTAAACATTTTCAAAATTGCTTGAAATGTTATATTCTGTGAGCTGTGTAATCACTCTCACCTCACTCTCCATTACCCAAATATGGATATTTTAATAATTTAAAATGTTAAAATTAAAATAGGTAAACATACTGCTCGCGTTTAGTTTTGTACTTAAATTACCCCAAATGTTCCCAACAATTTAAAACCTAGAAATGTGTGTATTTTCAATCAAGGTAACAGAGTGTTTAATTTTGTCCCCAGTATTGGCAACGTTGTCCTAAAAAAATAAAATAAACTTTTTACCAAGTTTTAAGCTACATCTTAAAAATACAAAACGTTAGCCGTTAGCTTGTAGCCCACCCATCCCGTGTCGACAAGAGAAACACAGTCTTTTACTGCAAAACTGCTTTATTCAGCATTTTTGCCTTTTTTTTTTATCAATGTGTCTGTTCGTTCAGAGAGGGGTAGACCTCTGCAGATAATTCGGCTCCTGGAGAATAACCTCGTGAACAGTGACAAATAAAAAGAAAATTAACTGGAAAAATTGACTGTGATGACAAACTCCTCTGATCCCATACTACTTCACGACACAACCCAACTCCATCTTTGGATATTGTTTTGATTGAGGGACCCCAAACGGCAGGAATTCCATATTGTGCATTTGACAGTATTACTTCTAGTACAAATAAATCCTGAGTTGTTTGTTTGGAAAGGATTTTCAACACAGGCCTACTATGTCAAACAGGGAAAAGACCAGCCAACAATATGATGTTTTTCCTTGCTTTGAATCCGAAGGAAATAGATGTTAAATTATACGTTTGTCATGTTTTTCCCATACTGTTTCATCTACCGAGCCAGGACTCATTACAGGCTTATCTTTTCAGTGTGCCCAGCCGGATGGAAACCAGGAAGTGACACCATCAAGCCCGACGTCCAGAAAAGCAAAGACTTCTTCTCCAAACAGTAAAAAGGCCAAGCCCAGAGTCTGCAGCCTGCTATAGGAGATTTCATTTAGAGATAACATTTCGTGAAAACAATATTTAAGTCAGTCCCTGTGCCTGTGGAGGACTCGTTGTGATAGTTTTTGTAGTGTTATGTTGTGTGTACAGTGAAAAGTGCACTTATGACCATAGTATATCAATGTGCTATTTTCACTTTCAGACTGAGCAAAATGCCTGCTTGTTCTTTCTTATCCTTCCTTACTGTTGTTAGATGCAAATTGCCATTCAATTTTTCATTTGAATGAAACCACAAGCACCTCTCTAAATGATGTCATACTTTTTTTTTACAGTGTTCTTTCATCAAAATAAAAACATATTGTTTATAACACTCTCCTAGAGGAACATGTTTACTTCAAACTTTGAGGGGAAATGTTGGGGTGTTACTATTTATACGATAAATATTTTCATGGTATATCTAGTATAACTCAGCTGTTTTTGTGGGTTCATGTAAGATTCCCTAAACACTTTCTTAATGACAGTATTTTATTGAGGTAGTATGACTTCCTTTAATCTATCACATCTATAACCTCAGTGAACAATTACTGCACAGTCCAACAGATTACTAAATGGAGGAAGATAAACTGCAATCTATTATAATATGGAGGCTTAAGTATGTCCATTAATGAAGCCAATGAGTAATCATTATGTTCAAAGTAAATCTGCATTCCCTTGACAGGCTGCTTAATTGTTGCCAGGTGCTCTCAAACACTGCCTCACACAGGTGTTTTTACTTAATTTCGCTGATAAGACCTCTTCGAACACCAACTTTGAATCTTTTAATATGCAGTTATAACATATTAGGTGTTTTTGCTGCTATACTGTTAAGAGTAGTGTTGGTAACTGATGTAACTGGTTGGAAATGTCAGTGAGTTACCTTTCCCATATTTGACCTAAATTTGCACCTACACACTTTCACCTGTGATTGAATGCCTTGAAAAGGTAATATTGCAATTTTGTATTCATTAATTACCTATACTTATTTATTTCACAGGCGTTTTAGCTTAGATAAAGTAAAAATTCAATGTAAAAAATGACTTCCGGTCATTTACGTACAGTAAATCCGACAATGTACTGTTGGTGTACGGCACGCAGATTAGTGGCGGGAAAAATAAACAAAGATATCCTGTCTAATGTATAGGTCATTTTTGTGTTTTATTAACATAAGCTTAACCTGTTAAGACTTCCTATAGGCGTTTTAATACAACATAGCATAAACATATTAAAAATGAGCCCGTGAGGAAAGGTTTCATTACTTTAATAAGCGTCTGCGTCACTATCTGATATTGAATGTTTGTATTCATCTTGTTAGCTTAGTGTTAGCTTAGGTAATTAATCAGTAGCAATAGTGATAAGGTGAAAATGGCTGCTGGGAAGATGTGCACCAGGAAGAGCAAGGAGGAAACTGCCGAGGTTTGACCACAACACATTTAAGCTAAAATAACATGTTTACCATTTGTTTTAATAAGTGTGTATATCTATAAGTGTACATTAACTTGATGTTTAAGTAAGCTCTGGAGGACATTTTACGTAGACAACGGCGCCATCGTGTGGGCCTTCAAGTCAAATGTAGCTCCTGTTTTCTCCTTTACTTAACGTCTTTGTTTGTTCCTTTTAATGTTATAAAAGTGGATAGGATTGTTCCTGAATGACTTGAAAACGGAGCAGGAGTCACTCGTTTTTGTCAAGAGGATGATGGCGTTGGCGGTGTCCTCCATCACCTACCTCAGAGGGATCTTTCCAGAAGATGCCTACAGGTCCAGATATCTGGAAGGTAAATATTAAACACCCTCAAATAGCCTAGAAGTTTAGGAAAATAAGGACAATTCAGGCATTCATCTCTCAATGGGTGTGTTGTTTTTGTGTACATTGTAGGCTACCCTAGCTGTACTGTGAACCCATGAAAGTCTGAGAAGAATATACATTTGTATGACTTTAGCCAACACATAAAGTAGTATACACTTAATAAAAGGCTCTTACATATCTAAACTCTAAACAGATGTATGTGTTCTATAGGATCTATGTGAAGACATACCGTAAATCTGTTTGCACTCCAAATATGTATTTATATTACAGTATTACAATATGGAGTAAAATACTCCAATCCACTGTACACAAAATGTTACTTATTTCTACTTTCAACCTTTTTGTCACTTGCACTATTTTATTTTATTTCTCCTCTGACTATTATAATTTCTTTGTATGTCTTAAGTTTCTAGTATGTTGCATTGCTGGAAGAGCCGAGGCCTTTTGGGTTGGGGACTGGATTTTGATTGCCAAATTATGGTGTAGCTATTGTGCATATAACAATATTGCCTTGAACTTTATATTGTCTCGGTGGTAATCATTGCTCTTCATCAAAAAGTAATACATGCAGTTTTATTCTGCCATTCCCACAGATTTGTGCATCAAAGTTTTGCGTGAAGACAGCAACACTCCTGGTGCCAGCAAGGTTGTGAAATGGTAATTACAAAATTCCTGCCTTAATGCTCCCATAATAAACATTAGTACTGGCCACATTTGCTAGCTCAAGGCGTAGCGAGCTCAAGAAGTAGGAAGTCGGCAGCGATAATAAGCACTTGGAGACTAAAGGTCTAATTATTTATTTTTTTGCAGGATGATGGGCTGCTTTGATGCTTTAGAGAAGCAGTATGTAAGTTAATGCATCCGTGAATAATTTACATTTGTATAATATGTTTTCTTTTTTTTTACTAATTTTCAATGTTGTCCTTTTTAACAGCTCCAGGTTGTTTTCATTGGGGTAAGTCAATCGATAAAGCAACATTTAATGGCAACACATTGCTTACAAAAAGAAAACAGAACAATAACTCCGTACATGTTATTGCAATATAGGTGTACACCAATCCAGATGAACCTAATGTAAGTCATTTTAAAAATATAAAAATATTAGCAGAAACCCAATTTTATCAGATCCCAGCATGAAGCTTGATCATCATTGAAATACATTTATTTTTCTCCTTTTGCAGTGCATTATCGAGTCGTACCAGTTCAAATATAAATACACTGAGAAGGGGCCTGAGATGAACATACTCAGGTTAGGATTATGCTTTCTATGTTTGAGTAAATAAGTTAGAAAAGGCTTCCACGTGACCAAACTGATTTCTCGGTTACCTCCATGAAACCTCAGGAACAACGATGTGGAGATGCAGGTGACACTGGAGGACACCAAAAAAGCCTCAGTACTGCTCATCAGGAAGCTCTTCCTGCTCATGCAAAACCTGGAAGCCCTCCCCAACAACGTGTACATCACCATGAAACTCTACTATTATGATGACAGTAAGATTGTGTCTCTGCCCAATCAAATAAATAAGAATCTTAGCGTCATACCTCGGATAATAGGAATCATCTCCTTCTGCTCTTCTTTCAAAGTCACCCCGGCCGACTACCAGCCCCCAGGCTTCAAAGAGGGCGAATCTGATAGCCTGTGGTTCGAAGGCATGGCCGTGCACTTCAGGGTGGGCGAGGTGCCGACGGCGTTCCACACCTTGCTAGTGCGCGTGTCAGCCGATCAAAGCCGGCTGGAGAAGCTTCAAGAAGGGAATCACCTGAGGGACAGCAAGCAGGATTCTCTGAGTCATCCTGCAGAGAGCGAGACCATCGAGGTGGGGCAGGAAGGAGGATTTTTAAAGTGCTGGAATTAACTTATATATTTGTCTCACTGTAAACTGCCACAAAATTCCCTTTTTCGTTGTAATTTATCCTAAAAAGAACTAAATCTAGCTTATTCATGTTAAACAAATGCACAAAATGACTATTCGTTTATCAGTTAATCATCCCGTGGTACCTTGAATTCTACCACGGGATGAAATATAGTATACGAAGAATAAACTCCCAATTTCTCAAACTCCTAATCAACTACTACAGTATATTCCAAGACCCATTAGGTTGTAAACTCACTACTTCCCAAACTCATGCATAATTCAGAAAAACCTTACTATTTAAAACACTTTGGACATGCACAAACATTAGCATGCCTGCCCAAGTGTGACACTGTTGGTTTGAGCTATTAGTTGATTTGTATGATTTAATAGTCAAACATTTATTTTATTTCTGTTTTGCAAAGACTCATTTCAGTGAAGTTAATTTGAGTTGTCGTTCACGCTTTTATTTTGAGGGCTGATTCAGGCACCAGGTGATCTGGGTATTTAATGATTGACAAGTGAATACATTTGGAATACCACAAAGGCATATGTTGTTGTCCAGGGAACAGGAGAACAGGTAAAGCCATTATTCATTGTACTTTTTGATCGTCTCGTAAATGACACTTGGATTATACTGCATGAGTTGTGTGAGTTTGTTAAATAGATATGTTTACATAATGCAAACCCAATTATCATGGCTTCCTCAAGGTTTGTTTGAATCTTTTTTCACCCTGGAGGTGAGAAAACGTTTTCTTCAAGAATTCAAGTTTATCGGAACTGAGTAATTAATTGACCAATGGTCGTTTTTGTGGTTGAAATATTCATTTAAAGTCATCTCATGCATCAAGGTTGTTTTTCTTGTTTGCTGTAAGTTCCTTTAAATTGTTTTTAATACCGGTTACAGGACCCTCTTAAGAAAACATACGAAGAGGATCTGCCTTCTGAAGATGGTAAGTCTTCGCTGCTCTCAAAACAGTAAATCTGTAAAAAAGCTATCCAAACTTATCAAAACGTTAACACTGCTGACTATCCTTTGAACAGAGTCTGCTGCACAGTTCAAGAAACCTAAAAAACCCATGGCAAAGGTACAGTTTAACTAGCAGAGGCATAATTATATTGAAGTATTCAGGTTACTGAAAAATGTGACACAAAGAAAACTTGACTTTCTTTATTATCTTAGAGAAATGCAGCTACCAAAAATCTGTCGCGGAAGAAGAGGATTCAGCCACAACATCAAAAAATACAATAAGCTGTCAGCAATGAACACACAAACATAAAATAATTCTTCATTTTATTGCAATGTTAACACTGTTTAATGTTATGTTACAATTGGTTACATGTGAAAATGCGTTGGACAGTTTCTTTACATAATTAAAGTTCTAATTTACACAACTTTGTACAAAAGGCATATTTGAAGTGTACAGTCTAGCCTATTAATCAATATCTGTTCAAGTAGCTTAATTTATTATTGTATTTTGCATGTATACAAATATATTTATATGATTGTTGAGGAAATAAAGCTTGACTTGTAAACATATTTGTTCTCCGGTAGAAATATTATTCTGCATACAGTACGGATTAAAGAGTTTTTTTAGCAAGAATACATACGGTCCAAATCATATAAATCAATACATGTATGCACAACAAGCGGAAAATTCATCGTTCAGCCAATACTGAGGACCTATTAGTTTAATCCATTTGGAGCAGATGTTAATTGAAATGTGCTTTAGATGTAAATGTCAAATTTCCGCTATAGGGAATGGGAACCGCGGTGCATTCTGGGGCTAAGAGAAGCTTTAGGCAGAAACAGACAGTTGGTGTGTACCTGTCTGTATTTTAAAAATATCAAAAATGTAGAGGCCCGTGTCAAGTTCACAAACGGGGGGATACTGGACCTTCAAACCTACAGGTTCAATGACAACTATAGAGTCACACAGACAGGGGTTAGATAGCTAATGTTATGCTAACGAAATGTCGAATTATTATGCATAATTTATCTGCCAGTACACGTATGTGCGTATACTGCGATATTTCATGTTGTAAATCATATTCCCGGTTTGTGTTGCTGTAGTTCAGCAATTATCATCACTTGCAGTATACAGTCAGCTACTTTAAAGTTTAATTTTAAAGGGACTTGCTGTTCCTGATGTCACTTTCCCATTCCCTATTCCCTATTTGTAGTTAATTTTCCCTCAGTTTAACATTAAAATGACATTCAGAAAAATAGAAATGGCTCATTTTCAGGAGCACAAAGTTTTGATGGTATTTCCCTGAAGCTTTGTACTGGTCCACACTTTGAGTCTCTGTCGCAGTTACAGCTCCACCTTCCTCTCCATGCGTCTCTGTCCTAGAAGAGGCTGTCCACATCTCCCATCTCCACATACACACTCTTCAGCTGGGAGTAGTGTTCAATGGTCACCTGACCGTTTTCCCGCCCTATGCCTGGTGAATGTAAAGAAAAGGAAGTAGTCTCACACGACTCTTGTTTAGGGAAGGTTTTTTTATACACTGAAATTATACCAATAAAAACAAAATTGCCTGTGATTGCGTGCTAACCTTTATGTATACAGTCTAAGGTCCTAAAACCTGATAAGGAGTTAGCATTTTACCACCTTTGGTTACTTCATCAACCTAAAAGTGAACAGTTTTTTTAACCTGCTTTTGGTTTGACGCCTGAAATATGTTCCGTGGTTAACATCTTGTTTTATGATATGAAATATATCAATACATAGCCCATTTGTAAATCTCTGAAGCTTTTATGAGTCATAAAAACAACGGTGGCTTATAAGTGACTAAATAAGACCAAACATCAAGCTGAACATTAGCTTAGCGGTGGCGATGATTAGCGGGCCTTCTGATTGTGTTGTTTGTTTATAGCGGAACGTTGCATGCTTAAAAAATCACAAAGTGGTGTTAAAATGTGAAGAGTTTCCTGCTGAACAAATTGTGTAAGTATCATAAACGTGTGTTTGCCTGCTTAGTTTCTGCAATATTTGAGAATTCCAATATTAAATCCCATTGCTTTTGTCGAGGGAGCTCCTGTGATGCTAACTTCCTGATTTGACTACAAAAACAGGTCATCACTGCAAAACTCTACACAGCCTACAGTCTGTACCTGACATTTTGAAGCCTCCGAAGGGCACCTCCACAGGGGTGATGTTGTAGTTGTTGATGAAACAGGAACCAGCCTTCAGGTGTTCCACCACACGATGGGCTCGCTTCACATCGCTACGGGAACATAAAGAAACAAAATCTAAAAGGTTCAAAACAATCCCTATTTAGTTGTGTTGATTTTAACCACTATTTACCCAAGCCTTTGTGGTCTATCAATAGTTCAATTTTACTTTTTTGTCCCTTAACTCCTAATATTGCTTCTTTCAACCTTAATTGTTCAGAAAAGTTAAATATAATAGCCATTTAAACATTTTCTTAAAGAAAAGATGGGATAGGATCAACAGCGCTACACTGCTGTCTTTTTTTGAAAGTGTTTTGACCTATGATTGATACATCTGCAAATATATTGCAATAATATGATGAGATGTTACTGTATTGTATTTAACACATTTGTTATAGGATAATTCTGTTTTGCCTAAAATAAAATATCAAAAGATAAGGCTCATACTTCACCAACACAACTTTTTCAAAAATCTAATTTACTAGCCTGCGAGATTGCCCTGAATGTGTCACCACACCCACCTGGTGAAAACTCCTGCAGCCAGTCCCAAGTCGGTGTCGTTGGCTCTCAGCAGCACCTCCTCTTCACTTTCAAAAGACAACACAGACATGACAGGACCGAAGATCTCCTCCTTCACACAGGTCATCTCATCCGTGCAGTTACCTTAACGAGGACAAAGAGAAAGCCAATGGTGTAAAGTAACTAAGTACATTTATTCAAGTACTGTACTTAAAGGTCTCATGTCATGGCCATTTCTACTGATCATAATTCCATTGTTGAGGTATACTAGAATAGATTTACATTGTTCAATTTTCCAAACTCACATTGGTTTCTCATACAGCATCTCTGTATAGTATGTGTATTCACTCTCTGTCCTAAACAGCTTGTTGGAGCTCCTGCCCCCCCATCCCTGTGAGCCCACTGTGCTCTGATTGGTCAGCTCGCCCACTCTGTTCTGATTAGTCAACCACCCTTACAGCGGAAAATCAGTGTTTATGTGTTACAATGGCGTTTGTTAGCAACCAGGAAATGACACCAGTAATGACAAACAGATGAGAATGCTGCGTGGGGTCTGGGTGCAGTGTTGGCGGGACATTGAGGGGCTCGCTGCTCCGCCCTTTTAGGCTCGAGGAGCTGACCGTGTGAGCTGGATTACTGGTGTTGTTTCCTGGTTGCTGCGTGGGGTCTGCGAGACAGCAAGACTCTGCTATGTAAGACTGGCAACAGAAAAGGGTATTCGGCGCTACACCAATCACATTACTATATAACAAAACAAACATGTCAAATACAAATAAGTGGGTCGGGCAAGGGGAACAATTATTGAAAATTCGGAACCTATACACAAATAGCCCAAAACCCACAAAGTAAAAAGTGTATAGGAAGGCTAATACAGCATAAAAACGTGAAGTGTGTGTTGTGCCACAAAACTCGTATTACTTAACGCTTAATATAACGCACACAGTCGAACACATAACGAAATAGTCAGTAAAACTAATAAATAAACTTATTCTAATGATGTAGGACCTTGTAATAAGTCCCATCTATTCTGCCCTCCAAATAGTAATTAACAATAGACAAGACCACATAAACTATATTAAGCTATTCGTCGTCTAATACCTCTACCCGTGTAGGTTCCCTCGATTTCCGTGCACTGAGCCTCGGCGCCCCCTTTAGAGAGGACGAGTAGAAAATGTCACTGGCACTACATCCTACTTGCGCACACTTCACTCCGCGAAGTATTCCCAGGTTGAGGACAGAGTTGGCGGCGTCCAGTGTTATCAGCACAAACTACGCAACATACGGCAAGGTACGCAGCGTTAGACCGTGTACTTTGGTATCGAACTAAATTACTTTACATAGGCTCCAGACGTCGTTGCCCTGGCCCACAAGTGTGTGTGGTATTCCGCCACGTAAGGACGGTTCAAAGGTGTGTGTGTGGTGTGTGTGTGGTGTGTGTGTTCTCCTGCGGCCCGCTAGCTCTATGGCCTCTGGCGACAACCGTCTCGTGTGTGTGCTTAGCCCTCCGGGACCACGTCGGCGCAGTGTGGACTCTCTCAGGACAGGGGAAACAACTCGGGTCCGTTTTCTTTGCTCGCATTTTCGCGCGGAAGGTACTGCCGAGCACACTTCGCTCATGTTTAAAACTATAGGAACTGCAATGTGCATGGCAGAAGGTCCCTCGAATGCCACGACACGCCTCCACTTGGGAAACCAGGGTTAGTCTAGGATTTTGACGGTCTCCTTCCTATGATCGTCTGAGCGGTACACATAACGCATTCTGGAGACAGCTAATGAGCGTACTACATATACGTAAGGTCCATTCTACCGAGGACTTTCACACGCGCCGTGATTTTGTGTGTGTGTGTGTGAAGTAATGAGAGGGTAAAACCTTCTACATTAATCTTTCATACAACAGTTTCCCCTAAGTACGCGTGCATGTACTTAGCGGTCAAATCCACTCGTAGTCACAAGACACGAAAGAGTCTCCACCTTCATCTTGAGTCCTGAAATGGAATTCATCTTCATGTACTCTCCACATCCTTATGAGATAATCGTTCATTTGTCGGGGAGGACGTTAATTGTTAGAATCGAAGTCTATTTTCATGTTTTCATAAATCATTCCTATGAGTTCCATGCGCCATTTTCAATTTTCCAAGAGTTAATACGGTCTAACCGCGGTAAAATCTTTCTATCGTATATGAATATAGTATATGTTCCAAAACTCAATATTAAACAACTAACAATTAACAAAAAATTTCGGACCATTTTCCATTGTCGACCCCACTTGAAATGGGGTCCACATTGAGTTCAGAATAAGAAGTTATATTACACCGTACGGGGGAAAATTATCACCGAAAACAAAAAAAGAGGAGGTAGAAGAGAACCTACATTGTTTACATCGTAAAAGGGAGACACCCTTGCTTGTTTTCCATTTAAGACTAAGACTATGAATTTCCAGGTACAGTACCGAAAAGGCCAATAATGCGGCAGGGGCAGTGGAACACACGTAGTACGATCCGAAAAGAGACGTACATTCTTGCCAGGACGTCTCAGGTGTTTGGGCGAATTTCATGTGGGACATTACGGGCGTCTCATGTCTGTGAGGATTTGTGCGTGCTTTTCTGGAGCGATTACGACTGCTGTCTTGCGGAGCACCTTCTAAAAAAGAAAAAGGTAAAAAAAGAAGGACCAGGTGACACTGCATTGGCCAGCGTTGCTACCTGGTATAGACGTCTTCGAGGCGTTGTGTGGTCGTGTGTGTGTGTAGGTGGAGGTCGGAAATAGGAAAGAGAGTCGGGCGTCCACGACACACCTCGAGGCATGTCGTGTATCGTGAGCGTCCGAATCCGACACTCACACCATACACTAGTCCGACTCGNTTGGCTTTCAGATATTAAACTTGTTTTGGCCAATTCAGATGATAAATACAACTTTGAAGCTTGTAACGGCATAATTACAAGCGGAGAACGGAGTCATAAATGACTCCGTTCTCCGCTTGTAATTATGCCGTTACAAGCTTCAAAGTTGTATTTATCATCTGAATTGGCCAAAACAAGTTTAATATCTGAAAGCCAATACTTTGTTATTGAAAACAGATGAAACAAACTGTCCCGGACCCTGCCGTGTTATGTAAGGGATAATGTGCTGCGGCGCGGTCATTATGGGGAAAAGAACACCGACAGGCTGATCAGGAGCCCGACGCGAAGCGGAGGGATCTAGATCGGCATGAAGGTGTTGATTTAGGAGATTGTGCCTTTTAGGGAATATTGTTACAAATACCAGACAATTAAAATGTTGTGCTGTGCGCTTGAATGTACTACAGAACTTCCAAGAAGTCTAAAATGATAATATTATACATGTCCCGTTCACAGGTGTTTGTGTGCTTGGTAGCTTAGCTTGTTACTTATTAGCCAGCTAAGGACGTAACTCTTTATACTATATACATTTTAGTTTATGATTCAGCCTTGGGTAAGACTTTTATAGTCTATGGCTATGACGCCCATAATGCTAAACGGGAGCAAATGTTAATAGGGGACCCAATTATCCCAGTGGTGGCCGCCGGAGCTAACGGAGGCGCAGGGGGCTAGCTCCAGCCGGCGTCCCGGAGCTAGCCCACTGCGGCTCCGTTAGGTCCGGGGCCGGGCGGTGGAGTCCTTCTTTTCTTAACGTGTGAATGACAAGCATTAAGAATAACAAAACATAGCTAATTCTCTTGCAGATTGTCTCATTTGATTATGAATGTAACGTTTATATCGGGGAACTACACTGTTAGCAGTAACTTGGTATGCACGTATTTCATGTTAGCTTAGCTTCTTAGCCTGAGCTAGCTCTGTTTACTTCCAGTTCGGAGGCAGCAGGTCCCGCCTCGGCTCCGCCTCTTTGCCCTTATTTGGAGCAGGCGGGATTAGACTCTGACGTCGCTGTCAAGCCGTTAGTGGCCGACTCCGCCTACTAAGGGCTTCTCGGCAACTCTGCAGAATCCTATGGGTGACGTCACGGACACTACGTCCATTTATATATACAGTCTATGTGTCAGAATAGTCAAACTCAAGCTGGATGCTACAATACGTGGTAAAATGCATCATGGGTGCCACACATTTGCATAATGTAACCTTACCTTCTCCGTGCTTGTCAGTGAACTGAAAGGCTTGGACCAGGCGCATGGTCTCCTCGACTGAGCGTCCAACAGGCAGGTCGTTGATGGTGATCTGTCTCAGGATGCCCTTGTCGTCAATGATAAACAGACCCCTTAAAGAGAGAAAAAGAGCAGGTTATCAGTCTCCAAACAATTAAGTCCCGTAAAAGAGCATTTTAATGGTTGTGAATTTCATGATATATTTTGAATTTTTGCTATCTCACTCAGCGAGAAACAGCAACTACCACAAAAACGACTTTAAGCAAAATCACAGGTTCATTCTTATGCAGCTCAATCAAGTCAATCATCCGATCTTTGTCCCCCTGAGTTTATCACTTGCAGGGGTCATTTTCGATTAGATGCAGAGGTACCCTTTTATAGAATGGCTTTTCCCAATTGACAAAATACTATTCCTAAATAAAATGTTACAAAATCAACCAAAAGAGCATTTAACTGCTGTTTTGTAACTGCTGTTCACTGTGTTTTTGATATGTGTGTATCCATATTGTATTTCTGTTTTGTTTTACTGATAGTGACATTTAACATTACTATTGCTAAGCAGTCAATGCCGGTATATAAACCACTATCCCTCTCACAAACACACTCAAATATCACACATACTAACATACTCTTTTCACTATCAGTTATTTTATTTTTTCTACATTGAATTTAAATGTTATAGTTTTTATTATAGCTTGTAAAAATAGTTTGCCATCAAAGTTGAATTCTTATAATTGTTTGTATCTTGTGTTCTGTATTACAGTGCTTCCCAACCGGGGGTACGGGGACCCCTAGAACAACTAAAACATTTTTTTGTGTACCTTGTAAGGCGACCTTGAGAGCCTTCAAAGGCGCCTTTATAAATAAAATGTATTATTATTATTATTATTTTTATAATCCTGGTGTCCTGAACTATCAAAACGTATGAAAGAAAAGCAAGCTCAAGTGTCTTATTAAAAGCTCTAGTCCTAACAAAAGATTAATTTTCCACTCACAATAAGTGTTAATGGCAAGTCTAAATTGATTTTTATTAAGGGTGAGTCATACAAGTGAATTTCATCTAAGGAGTGGTTGGTTTGAATACGATTACAAAGGGTTTAACACAAGAAAAAATGTATGTGAATCATCACCGATGAGTGGGGGGGTTCTTAAAGAACAGCTCAAGGGATACACGTCACCAAAGAGAAAGAGGTTGGGAACCACTGCTCTATTACATTCTGAATATTTTTGGGTAAAAGCTTTAAATAAGTTATGTTGTGTATTTTTTAAATTGTGCCTAAACAATGAACAATGTTTCCTTGTTTCGAACCTTGTTCAAAGCATATTTAAACTCTGTATTGTAAAACCCACCTGTAGGCAATGCCCTCGTCCTCCTTCAGGACACCATAATCTGTGGAGATGGTGCGTCGAGTGTCAGACACCAGGGGGATCTTCATGGCACCCAGACCGCCCTGCTTCCGTGGCGTGTTGGTCCTAAGGAGGTAAGAAAAAGTGAGGATTTTGCAACAGTGAATCCATAAAATCTGCTGTGTAAGAAATCAAACTGGTAACTACCATGCGAAATGGGAGAAGTGTGAGTCGACAGAGGCGGCGATGACCTCGCAGCCGATCTTCCGGAAGTCCTCGGCAGCGTCACTGAAAGCGATGATCTCAGTTGGACACACAAAGGTGAAGTCCAGCGGATAGAAGAAAAAGACAACATATTTCCCTGCACCAAAGGAAATGGAAACAAGTAAGGCTTTTGTAAATGTATCACAATACAGTGGTGCTTCTATGATGTATAAATGAAGACACCCGGGAGATAGCATCTCAAGAGCTCCCTCAACAAAATGCAATGGGATTTTTCCATTGGATTTCAGAATATTGAAAAAATAATATCTCTGGCAAAGAGACTTTAATGATACTTGCACATTTTGTTGGCAGGATAATTTCCACATTTTATCACCACTTTGTGATTTTTGAATTTTTAAGATTTAAAAGCTAACGTTTGAAGGATTATCGGAATTATTTGAAGTATTAAAGTACCGTGTTATGGCAGGGAAGTTAAATCTAGTATATTCATTTTAAAGTCACTTTATATATATTCATGTGTGTTAAATTTGAAGGGACAAAGTATATTTTCCCTCCCCAATATATTGAGGTGAAGTCTTTGTGTTCAGAGAGGGATGTGAGCAGGGGACATCCTGATTTGGGGATAGCTCCAAAACTCTGGAATGTTTCCCTCATAAAAGAAGAGGGTGCGTTACACATGCTTAGGGCAAATGTGTGTGTTTTCATTGCAGTAAATATATGTGCTGCGTGATTACTGTTCAACTATACCTCTGTTTTTACTCTTTCATGTGTGCGTACTAAATGGCTACAAACATTGTGGAGAAATTAGCTTAAACATGTTTTATTACTCTATATGAAATGGAAGCAGCTTTTATGACAGGGACGAGAGAGCTGGGGGAGGGGACATTCTTCTTAAGATTTTCAGCATGTCAATTATCAGGGAAATCTACTTGTTTTAAATAGATGTGTGTGGTTAATTACTTTGTATTAATAATAACAGTATGTGTACTGGTTTTGCGGGTTTCTTCTGCTGTATCGCACTGATTGGGTGCGACAGGCCATGTGTTGGTCTCTCCCAATAAGATG